GTTTGATCTATGGACACTATTTTAACTATGAATATAGCAATATTTACAACCGAAATGGTCAGCACTAATCAAGAAGGTTGACCGCCAAACATTAGGAAGATAAACCACACAACAATAAACTACGAAACAACTCTCCCAACACCGATAAACCAACATTTATAAACCACCACAATCATAATCCGTATCAATCCGTACAACTAAAATTATACAATATGGGGGAAATCCTTCAGCAAGAAGAATAACATAACCACTCCTATGGCAACAAATAACCACCAATCAAGCCCTACATAGAAAATTCGACCATACAACTACCTATTACCCAAATAATAGTCCTTACAAGAATATCACCAAATGCCAACAAATTTCCCGATGCCATCCAATCCCAATATGTGTCAAATTTGGATTGAGGTTGAGATAGAGATTGGACTTGGGTGGCATCGGAAAATTTGTTGGTAAGTATTATTTAATTAGTAAAACTTCACAAATATAGAAATATATAATATGTTATGTGAAAGATTAAAATAAAAATAATATCATTTATTATGAGATGGAAGGAGTACAACATTTCATATTTACCCTAAATCACCGTCCACATAGCCACCGTTTAAATCATCATCTTCCTTTCTTTGTTATTTCATCTCTTTAAACCTCCTAAGCACCTCCATCAAATGATGTTGATTTTCTCCCTCTCTTGAGTCTTTACTGTTTCCTACTAAGCCAAACAACATGTCTGATCAAAATTTAAACTAAAGTAACTAGGAGCAAAAGTTATTATTCTAGTACTGTAAACTAACGTCGCTATTAAATTATGCCAAATAATAAAATAAATATCCACAAACAGCCCTATACTAATATAAATAAAAACAAAACTAATCTATCTAGCAAATTAATTAATCAAGGAGCACTTATCCTAATATAATTTAAACAAACAACAACAACAAAGATAATCAATATTGCAGTAACAAAACTTGCAATTTAACAATTAATGGCAACATGCTAATTTAGACTAGCTAGAGGCTATTAACAATCTAGTAGTGATATAATTATGACTAAGCTAATATAATATAATTAAGTAGACAACAACCTATAACAATAATATGTACTGAACCAGCCTGCAGCTAAAACTGCTCTATATTTCTCTCTTCTTCATCTTCTTTTTCCCACTTGAGTGAAACTAAGCCTAATCCAAAGAAACTAAAATCTATTGCACACAAAAAACAAGCAAGAAACAGAAAACCTACCTCTATGGTTAGTAGTTAACTAACCCTTTAAATACACCATTATCATAATATATATTATTTAAATAGTTTATTCATTATGACAACCTTATCTTTCAATCTATGTATAAATATTGCAGACTGCAGTTGTGCGGCATAGATAAGTTTGATAGTGGCAGAAGTTGTGGAGAACAAAGGTTTTCTAGCTGATAGGACCAAGACGGACAGTTCGGTGATAATTCGCTTCAATAAGTTGGTTCAATCCCAACCTAGTTTTGACATTGGATAGATAGATAGATATTGATAATATTTCTATCACTTTTCTGTAAAACAGTAGAAAGAAAGAAACTCATCACCACTTGCAATTCTCCCCAAGTTTGACAGTGGTAGATGTTGTGGAGAACAAAGGTTTTCTAGCTGATAGGACCAAAACGGGCGGTTAAGTGATAATTCGATTTAATAAGTTGGTTCAACCCCAACTTAGCTTTTGACATTGGATAGATAGATAGATATTGATAATATTTCTATCAATTTTGTGTAAAACAGTAGAAAGAAAGAAACTCATCACCGCTTGCACTTCTCCCCTGCACTTTGAAGTGGAATAAATATGCATATATAAATCTATAAATATGGTGGGACCAAACCAAAAGAAAATCACATTCCATTTTGATTGATAATTATTTTGTTGGCAACCAAGATTAAGGCATAAATCTAGATAGCTCAAAAAAACAAAAAAAAAAAGATGCTATCAATGTATCATTTATTATTCAGGTACTAGAGAAAACACTGAATATAAATTTTGAAGATTCATTAAGTTCAATACTCGCATTAGTACTTAGAAAAAGTAATTATATATTAATACTAAAATACTGTTAATTTTTACTTAAATTACAAATATATTATTACACGTATAATTAGTTTATACATAAAGTCAAATGGCAAAACTATCAAAAACTCTTACGCATTTTTACTAACCAATAAAATACTATTATTTCTTAATTTACTACAAAATCTCAAAAGTCCTATTTGAATTGAGACAAATGAAGTATAAACTTTTATACTGTAATCCCTCCGTCCGGCTACAAAGTAAATATTTACTTTTGCAGTGGAATTTAAGAAATAATAGTGTTTTAATTGTAGTGGGTAGTTAAAAATAGTGTAATGACATTTTTTATATTACTTTTTAGTATAAAAGCAATGATGTAAAATTGAGTATTTAATAAAATTGTTACTTTGTAATTGAACAACCCAAAATAGAAATATGTATAATTTATGACTGAAATAGAAGAACGAGAGATATTAAGATAGAGAAAATATGTAGATTATGAAAAATGCAGATTATTTTTTCATTCATCGGCAATGAGAATATTTATACATAAATACAATATGATTAGTCATAATTATGACTGTCGGTATATACTACGTATATATTGACGAGTTTGTGTTGCTACGTGGTGTTCCATTTTTTATTTATTTTTTTTTTAATTTTTTAAGGTAAAGCCCACTTAAAAATAATACGTGACACTTGGTTTTTTATTTTAATTAGTTGCTGGATTATTTTATTTTATTTTATTTTTTGATATAGGATCCACACTTAATAATAATTATTATTATAAATTATTTTACGTTGAAATATTAATCTAAATTGATTTTTATTATTACTATAATATAATTTATTTATTCTGAAATAGCAAGAAATATATATTTTTTTTTTCAATGGATTACATTATAATTATATTTTATTAATTTATGAAAGTGTATACAATAATTTTAAAATTTTTATCTTTGGTACAAATGCTAAAATACTTTTATAAAAATTAGGGATATTTGAGGGAGTAAAAAAAAAAAAGATTATTTTTAATTGACAAGAATATTTCTAAGTGACAAACAAATATAAATTTGACACTTTGTTACTTATTTTTACCATTTAATTGGGAATTTAGAAAAATAAACACATTATTAACAAATTGGGAACGGTTAGGGTGTTGAATTGTAGAAATCAGCATCGTTCAAATCACCACCCGTAATATATAGAAACAGCACAAAGTCTTATTATGTACGGCACATGCTGTGTATAATAAAGACAGGTAATGTTGATTCATAATTATAGCGTGCTATATAACAGTATGTGATGTGATGAAATCAATTAGTATTTGTATTGTATTAGACTATAACATGTGTTATAAGTGCATGTGTTGTATTTGTGTTGTTGGTTCATAATATAAGTATGTTGTATAACAGTATATAGTGTGCTGAAATCAAGTATTGATTATGTTGTATAAAACTATAGCATGTGTTATTGGTTAATGTGTTGTATTTGTATTATATGAATGCAGACTGTGAGTTGCCGATAGTAACACTGTGTGCTGCAGTGCGTTGTCAGAACAATGTTGAATTATAAAATTCAGCACTGTAGCCAACGCCTAACAAATTACTCCCTCCGTCTCATATCTATCTATTCATTTACTTTTTGCACGAAGTTTTAGAAATATTAGTATTATATTGAAATGTAGTAAAAATAAAGGTAAAAAAATTAAATTATCCTTATTAGTATTGTATGATATAAAGGTAATGATATTTGTATAATATATGGTAAATTAGAAAGGTATTTGTAATATTAGGTAGATTGTCAGTTACTTGAAAAGGAAATTGATACTTTGTTACGAGAAAAATGAATGGATTGTTAAGAGACGAAATGAGTATTATTTTTAATCGTAAATATAAACTTTAAAAAATTAAAATTTATATAATTTTGATAGATTATATACAATTTACATACATTATAAAATATAAAAGAAAAATCAAAATATTTCTTATACACATTTATTTTATCAATAAAATTTACGACGATGAGAATAATATTTAGACTATTACTTTTTAAAAAAGAATATAAATAAAAAATTTCTATTTAAACCAAAATTTAAAGAAAAATCTAATTAAAAAATAAAAAAGTCTCACTAATTAAAATAAAGAATTAGCTATGTATATTAATATTATTATTATTATTATTATTATTATTATTATTATTATTATACTACGTGGGTTCCACCCCATAAATTTAAGAGAAACAAAAAAGTTCAAATTATTATTATATTTATGTGGGGCCCACGTGTCAAAAATTAAAAAAAAAAAAGAAAAACAAAAGTAGCGACGTGGCCTATCAAAATCGAAGGTAAATATATCTATAGTAGATAGTAGAGCTGTTAAACGAATCGAACCGTTCGTGAATTCGGCTCGGTTTAGTTCAATTCGCCTCGATTGAAGCTCGTTTACGAACGTTAACGAGTCGAGTCGAGCTGAACAACATAAACATGCTCGTTTGGTTAACGAACGAGCCCGAGCTTTGTTCGCGAACGATTCTTTTAAATAATATATTTATTATAAATATTATATATATTTATAATTATAATTTATAAATAAATAAAATATTAATTTAAAATATATAAATAAAATAATTTTAAATTTTTTTTTATAATTTATATATAAATTTAAAAAATAAGACAAACGAGTTCGAACGAACTTAATCGAGCCTAAACGAATCGAATACGAACACTAGCTCAAACACAAAAAATTTTTAACGAAATGAGAAGCTTAGCGAACGAACATAAACTTTATTCACGAACGTTAACAACACTGGAAATCTGAGTCAGCTCGAATTGTTATCGGCTCTAAATAGTAGATAATTGTGAATTGGGTTTACAGATCGTTCTCTCTTTGATCCAATATAGAAGGCCCAATTCTCAACTCCGCTTCTTTTTCAGTTAGCATTGTATTGTAGCCAACCGCACGGTAAGAAACCGCAGGGAAGCTTGTCTTTCTCAGCCTACACTCCCTGCTGTTCGTCTTCAGTTAATTGTCTACAATTTTGTCTGAGACACAGAGCTAGAAACCGTAATCTCGCTGGACAAATGACTCGAATTTCCCGAAGAAATATGCGAGGGAAAACTGTAACCTTCTCTGATGGTGATGAGCCGCCGAACAGGGCAACTCCGAATGCGAAAACCCGTGCGAAAGACCGAAGTCTCAATCGAGTATTAAGTTTAAGGTGGAAGATCTTCTTCGTTTCTGCAGCTGTTCTGGTTGCAATCGGATTGTATGGGATGAACTATTTTGTAAACCCTGAGAAGGAGTCTGTTAAACCCAGGGTCGTTACTCCATTACCTGCTCCGAAGCTCATGGATCTTCCTATGGTAAACAAGCAGCTAATTATTGTTTTTTTTATGTGATCTAATCATGAATGAAAAAATATTTTGTTGATTGCTTCGTCACTGTATATGAGATTTATCCGATGATTTAGTGAAATCGTTTTTTACAGTTCGAAGGGGAGCACAAGGAGAGTTTATATTGGGGAACATATAGGCCACATGTTTATTTTGGAATACGAGCAAGGTGAATGCTTGTTAGTAAGTTTACGTTTTTTCTTTATGTTGTGTCGTTGCTATTAGCTCTAAAACGATATGCTTGATATATCATCAGCTTAGGAGAAAATGTGAAGGGTAAGATACTGAATCCACCATTTTTGTGTGTGATATGATCTAAATTTGGATATGTTGTGATGAATGGAAAGTTCTTCTAAACTTGTACGTGGGGCTTTGTCAGTATAAACTGCCTTCTTTGACTGTTCTTGTATATGCCTCAACGTTGTTGAGATTATGATTGCTAAGGCCTTATGTAGTTCATACTAAATATATAGAATTCTTTCCAATTTTGCTTGCCCCTTCTGTATGGATGAACTTCACTTTTTCTTATTCTTCATTCTTTCAAGATACTTAAGATAGGACGTGTGTCGGTGTTTGCTAAATGTATAAGTTATGAAAAAAGTTTGACATTTGGAATGTAATAATGTTGCATTATTCTTTTGAGTTGTTTTCTTGGATATGAGTTTTAACTTGTGTTTATTTAAGTGTGTAATTTATCACTGCATCTATTTCATTAGTGTTTTTATTTGGCTATTATATACTGTGTGGTCAATACAAATATGATAAGAAGATGCCACTTTCAGGACAACACAGTCTCTTCTTGCTGGTTTGATGTGGCTTGGTGTTAAGGATGGGAGGTACACTATGCGGCATGTATGTCAAGACTCAGATGAGCTTAAAACCTATGGTTGGACACATCACAATGGACGGGATTATGGCCGACAACTGTTGGTTGACCAAAATTTGAAGTTGACGACAAGTTTTCTTAAATCGATGGAGACAGGAAGTGGCTATGGAGGGGACTGGGCAGTTCGGATTGAAGCAGAAAGTGAAGTGTAAGTTTCTAGTTGAGTTATACTGCTAGTTTCTTTAACTGAATATGTATAGACTATTCTTCCTATTATCAGTGAAACCAATGGGCAATTGACCTATATGTGGTAAATAAACATGACACGTTTTCTGCATTGAGAGTTAGAAAATTGAAAGGTCAAATCATCTTGAAAATGGAGTAGAAATATAGATTGGAAGCTTTCTGCATGAAACTAAAATAGGAGCATGTAAAAAAAAAAATGCTTAATGTTACAATATTTGGAGTCTATATATAGAGGGTTGTGGCAAGGATGCTCTTCCCAGATCTTTCCCAACTTACGTAATATTTGGATTGCCAATCTGTTAATCCTGTGTTTTGTTGGAATACTCTAGATGGTTAGCTTTGGTTCCTATTAATGCATTCTGATAAGTTGCTATTTATTTCTAAATGTACCTTCAAAACTATTTCATCACTTTAGATCGATGGATGTCCATCGAGCACTCTTGGCTTTCATGTTCAACATCTGTCATTCTTGCAAACTTCGGTGTAACTTGCTGATATGAAGTCTTTTCACTTTTGCTGCTGTAGACATAATGAGGAAATGTCAGATGTTGTTCACCTGTTCTTTTACATGGCTGATGAAAGTGGAACAGCTCTAGAATTAGGGAGGGGTGCCTCAGATATTCCAGGTGACCACATCCTTGCACTTGGTTCAAGAAATGATATTGGTAGTTGGAAGCTTCATTTAGAGTCAAAGGTATCTGACTTGGCCATTATATTTTCTGCAGCTATTTTAATACGACCTGTGTCTGTTCAATATATAATGACAAAAACTAGTTGATGTACATATTATTTTTCTGATTCTGTTGTTCTGTTTTAATGTATATGTCATGTTTGTCAGGCCTTTATATTATTAGTTCAACCATGACTAATTTTGTAGGAGGACTTTGAGTTCCATTATGCTGGTTTCAAGACAAATCACTTCCACAATCTATCTGACCTTGTCCAAATCAATCTTGCGATTCAGGTATCAAGGTCAAGTTAGTGTGTTTTTATTCTGGACTGCTACTATTGTTTTTTTTCAATCCAGTTAGGTTTCACTGAATGTGCTTTTAGATACAGTCGTTTCCTCTGGCTCATTTTCCTTACTTTCTGTCCAGGCTAGGAATACGGGTCGGTTACAACTCTCTGATACATCTGATAATGCACCAAATGTTCTAGTTTTCCAGGTCTATTGTCAATATTTTCATATATTGCCCAGAAACTTCCATAAATTAAAATTACCTGGTCTCGTATGTCATTTCTCATCTGTTAACTCAGCAATTTGTATTCTTAGTTCAGATCTCTGCAATGGTTCCCATGAAAGCAGATTTTTCCTTTGTGTCTGGTTCTAGTTTAAGGGTAGAAGAACGCATCAAACACCTTACAGGTACTGTGGTAATTCATTCTAATATGGTCTTTTCTCTCAACCAAGGGCAATGCTTTTGTTTAGCCACAACGTTCTTGATTGAATTTTGTAGAGAGAAGAATCATTATGCATTCTTCACTTTGAATTTTTTCCTCATGGACGCATGCTAGACTGCATTTCTCAGTGATTCAAATTTCTCATACAAACTCAGAAACAAGTTCTCATTTGGATTTGTAGCAGATAAAAAAAAAAAAAAAAAATTAAAATTCAAAAGTTCTTGCAAATGCGAAGTAAGCAATGCATGTTTAATGTTGCATAATTGATAAAGCAGGTCATATTAGGAATGATACATGTTTACTCATTTACTACAGAATCACAGATCACTCCTTTAACATTCTACAGAATTGAACATTGACGAGTATGCTATTTCTTGAATATACATAAATATCAGATTTAATTTGTTTTAACATTCACTGGACTCTCTGAATATCCACAAATCAGTTTCAAATGCCCGCTTAAATTTATGTCATTGTTGGATGAAATGAGTGGAGTAGAAAAGTGATTATAGATGTTGCTTCTGTAAATCTTATCCAATCCAGAGCTCCTTTTCAAGCAGTGTAATCACTTAGGGTTGGCAATCACATTTATAAAGCTTTCATCTAATCAGTGACTGAACACAGTATACCGAGTCCCTGCAACCAAGCTCTTGACCAGGAACGGCAAAATAATTAAACAAATGATTAAATTGCTTGTATTTGGAATTGTTTGCAGAGTTTCTGTCTCAGAAGAGTGGAGGATTTTCTCTGTTCTGTTTGTCTTATAGATATCTTTATCTATTTGGAGATTTCCTTTTATGCAAATTGTGGTGCTAAAATATTATTAAGTGTAATTAATAGGAAAAGCCCGAAAAGGCCCCAATTTTCTCCTCTTCAACTTCTGTCTGTACTTAAATCAAGCATTTATTTATGTACATGTTAGTCTATGCAACTTATAAAATGCTTGTTGCTAAAACCAGCTTGGAGTTGTCTATTGGTGAAGTTTTAAGTAATTATAAGTTAACTTGCTCTCAAATGAATGGTTCCTTTGCATGCATGATTAGCATGAAGCTTGTTTTTATTTTTCAGTTTTTCTTTTTGTCGTATTTGATACAAGTTAATTTTAGGGTATTTTTTTGTTTTAATTTGAAATTGAGGTGGTGATTTGAATTTTTGGTTTAAATAGTATTTTGATATGATGTTTTAGGATATGAAATCATTATTTTATTTTTTTTAAAACCGTGCATGATGAATAATTGAATTTTTTTATTTGTAATAAAAAAAACAAACACATCTTAATTTTTTTATTCTCTCTATTGAAATACTAATTACTTATAAATCACTCCAGGTGATTTCTTCACTAGTCATCTAGAGCAGAAGCAGAAGCAATTTGATGAAAATTTCAAAAGATGCTTTAATGTGTCTGATGAGGTACTTAATAGGATGATTCTTGTTCTTCTGATCCAGCCCCTAAAATTCAGATACATAATATATTTACGAATTCAAGATTTATATGTGCTTTATATTTCCACTCTGAGGTATGCCGTTGACTTTTTGGTGACTTCTTCATTTAGATTTCAGCTAAATGCCTAAGTTAACTTCATTTCTTAATCTTGAAGGTGTACACTTTAAATATATTTTATACATATTTGTTTCATTGTATAATTTCTTTACAATGCTAGGTTTAGTTTATTGACTTTGGATGTGTAAAAAATATCATTTTGAAATTTCCTTGTATGTAGTTATGCAATATTGGATAATGAGTTTCATATTGTCAAAGTTGTTGTATTAACCTAAATTCCTGGATTTTATTATTTCAAAATCAAGAAATGTGATTAAACATGTGAAATCATAGACAGTGACTGGAAGTTTTATCATCTGTTCCGCAGCACACATTTAGTTTACCATGGACACATATTAACATATGAAAGAATAATTATAAACTACATTGTGTGGAAGCAAATGTTGCTTTAATCTGTGCAGAAATTTTGTATGTGGTTATTTGTCGGTAACATCACATATCAAGTCACCACTATTTCTTGAGGTCAATCACACTGATATATTGAACTGAAGTACGGTTTTGGGACAATATGTGCCAGAACCTATGTATAATTGTCAATCAGATATTTCTAGTACTTTTGAGCCGGCCAAAAGATCTGGTCCAGTTATCAACTCATCAATCTACTTCTGTCATCACTATACTTCTCTCATTTGTTTGTTCTTTGGTTTTTATGTTTTCGAATTAAGGTCAGTTGTATTATTTCAGCTCGACTTTGAAGCCTCAACAGTGGGCAAAGCAGCTCTTGGGAATTTATTGGGTGGGATTGGATACTTTTATGGCCAATCAAAAATTTCAGTTCCACCATCTTCTAATGTAAGTTTGTTGGCTGAATTTGTTCTTATCCCATATATTTTGAGACTTTGGTGCCATAATGAGTGATGGGGTTTTACTTGGCCCCTACATGCCCCTCTTGTTTTCTTGCTCTTCATTTGTATTTTATTTTATTTTATTTTTTCTTTTTGTACATTAACTACAACCATATCTTTGATTTATATATGAATTAATCGTTCAAGTGAGCAAGAATATATTCTTGCTTCAGGTTTGAAAAAATTATTATTAGTATTTTTTTTTCTTTTTCTTTTTGTATATGTATGAATATGTATTTGAAATGCACCCACCTTGCTATAATACATTGTTCACGATGATAGTATTGCTGGTTGGAATTTGGAATGCCTAACAAAGTCATGCAGTGGGTTATTTCTGCATGCAGCTTGTACCTGGTGATAACTATGTATCATATTGGCCAGCTGAGCTATATACAGCGGTGCCTAGTCGTCCCTTCTTTCCTCGGGGTTTTCTTTGGGATGAAGGATTCCACCAGCTACTGATATGGTGGGTTATCTGTGGGCATGTTGATCTTTCTTATTTTGGTTTTTCTGGCGACTGGAGTACTATTTGTTAATAGTCAAAGCTTGATTTTTTTTTTTTTGGTTAAGAAAGTTGGAGACTTTTTTTATCTAACTCTCTGTCTTTTTATGTTATATATATAAAAAGGCGATGGGATGTTAGAATTTCTTTGGATATCATTGGGCATTGGTTGGATCTGATGAATGCAGATGGCTGGATACCACGTGAGCAAATTTTAGGTGCTGAAGCTTTAAGGTGAAATCGTGCTGATATCTTTATATTGCCAGCACATATCATTTTTATTATTTATTTATTTGTTTAGTTGTCTTTCTGTCTTCAGTAAGGTACCTCCTGAGTTTGTTCTTCAGCATCCATCTAATGGAAATCCTCCAACATTGTTTTTGGTTTTGAGAGGTTTGGTTCTCACTGCAGTCTCCATATCTCTTTTGTCATATATATATATATATATATATTTAAAATAATAAAGTGGAAGAATCACTATCTGGTCAATGGTCATACTCGTTAAATGACCTAGCATAACATTATACATTTCTCTTATTATATAATTGATTAGTGCCAAACCTGTAGTCATGTTACATCATATTAGTAAAAGAATCTAAATGTAACTATTCAAATACCATTGGTAATTTGCAAGCAATGTCACTCAAACCATTTTATATCATTGTATGGTAAAGCATCCAATCTATCATGCTGATATTTGAAAAGATACATTAACAATGGCTGTGACTATATATATTTGAACCATTTAAAATATCAACAATTTTATGAAGATACCCTTGATATGTTCTCCATTTTGGTTAGTCAGTAGCTGATTGGATCAAGAAACCATTCATCACACTTGGGTTAATGGGAAATTTTTAGTGATCAGCTGAAATATGAAAGTTATAAGGTACACTTTTTTTGCAGATCTGATTTGTGGCATGAAGAAAAACAAGTTCACTACATCTGAAAAAAATGATCTCACTGTCTTCTTACGTCGTGCATTTGCGCGTCTTGATGCATGGTTTAAGTGGTTTAGTTCTACTCAATCGGGTGAGCATAATATTACTAGTGCCTTACATTGATTAGTATCTTGTAAAAAAAGAAAATGCGTGTAACATCCTACATGAAGTCATAGTTTGATTGGAATACCCAGTTTAATTTGGTTGCTCTGTAAATGAAAGTTAGCTGTTAATTGCAGGAAAAATTTCAAACACTTACTTTTGGCATGGAAGGGACAACTTGACTAGACGTGAATTAAATCCAAAGGTTCCCATCCTCTTTATATCCTTTTAGGTGTTTTGATCAATATACATACGATACATGTAACATGTTTCTATCAATATACATAAGATGCATGTAACTATGTTTCTATCAATACATAAGATCCTTTGTGGGTAATAGAAATCAAGAAATAAGTTTGTCAAGATGTAACTATATTTATTTCTTGCTTCCGTCACAAAATTTCCAATCTTACCCCTACCCTCAGATGTTGAGAATGTCTGAAGAGTACATGCTTATTTTGAACGGCATAGTTCTCATATTTTAGTTTTACCTGTTTTTGTGCATTAGCTTGCTTCAGCACTGTAGAGTTGCAGCAGACATTATAGTCGTAACATATAACATTCTAAAATTTGGAGCAGGCAAAGGTAATTATTATTGATTACTTTGGCACTTAACAAATTTGTTCTTTGGCATCTCTAGACACTGTCTTCTGGATTGGATGATTATCCCCGTGCTTCACACCCAAGTGAAGATGAGCGTCACATTGATCTACGATGTTGGATGTACGTTGCTGCTGATTGCATGAATTCTATTTCAGAATTTCTTGAGGACAGTAATGTTGGAAAGGTACAAGTGGAAAACTAAAATTGAAGGAGTTGCTAAGCATTGAGTTCACAATATATGCTCATATGTATTTTGCAGGAATATGGAACGACAGCTAAGCAGCTATCAGACTTCGAGCTTTTAAACAAGGTAGTTTCTAAGGGTTTGTTCACTTTGTGTGTTTTTGGATGTATGTGTTTTTGGTGTTAGGTATGAAGAATCGTGTCCATGATATAGAAAATAATATTTTGTATTAAAATGTTGATTTTTTGTGAGTACATAAAGTATATATTATATATTTTGGTAATATTTATTGGAACCGTATCACTAGTAAAATGTTGGGGGAACACAGGCAATCCCTCTTGTCTGCTGTAAAACCTGTCTATCAATATCATATTAGTAGAAGTTGTATCGATCTGTTTGGTTTTCTATCAAACTGATGTTCTTTCTGTGTGCTTTTCAGTTGCATTTTGACAATAACTATGGAGCTTATTTTGACTATGGAAATCATACAGAGAAGGTACACTCTTTAGCTTTTACAGTACTCTAGCACCATATATATTTGCTTCCTGAATTCTGGTCATGCAAATCATTGACGTTTCTTGCTAAAATTTCTCTATTCCGTTACCATTTCCTACTGATATTGTTCTTAATGCTAGTGTCTGTTATGTTCTAATTCGAAACAAATGAAGATGAAGAAGTTCCGTATTGGACACATTAGTGGTGTAGTATTCATTTCTTTAATGTGCATGTTCAAAATATGAGAGGTAAGTATATGCAGAAGTAAATATAAATATAGTCGAACGTATGCTTATTCATGATGTTAGAATTAACTATTGATGTAAGAACTTGTTGGTGGAAGCTGACAGACATGAAAGTTTTGAATTATACAAATTATGACCTTGGCTTACCCCATGTTTGACTCTCTCTCTCAGGTTCGGCTAACTTGGCGGGTTTTAGAAACACCGGGAAATTACCCTACTCGTGAACTTGTACGAGAAGTTTTAGAGCAGCCTTCACTTAGACTAATTCCTCATATCGGCTACGTTAGCCTCTTCCCCTTCATGAATAGACTTATACCACCTGTGAGTTAATCAAGGATCTGATGCTACAATTTACAGATTTTGTTTAGAAATATATATGTAGATATATATATATATATGTATATGTTCTGGTTATTTGATGTTCGATTACATTCTACACATTGCAGGAGTCGGGGATACTAGAAAGACAGCTGAATCTTATATCGAATTCGAGCATTCTGTGGACTAAATTTGGGCTTAGATCTTTAGCCAAAACAAGGTAGAACTATGGATAAATATTTTTAGGTTCGATCAAGAATACTCACAAGAATTTTGGTGAATTTTGTTCCAGCTCAATATACATGCAACGCAACACCGAGCACGATGCACCTTATTGGAGAGGACCAATTTGGATGAACATGAACTACATGATTCTCTCCGCACTTAAATATTATTCTGAAGGTACAAAGTTTCAAATGATTTTTCTTATTCTCAGTTTCAACTCTTAACTGTATCTTTATCAAGGTCGACTTGGTTGTTGTAGCTGATGGGCCATACCAAGACCAAGCTAGAAATATATACAATGACCTGAGGAGTAATGTGATCAGGTATTCCCCCCTAAATCATATCTGCACAAAATCCAGAGCGTTTCTTTGTGTTTTGAATTTGAATTTTCTACGCTCTACTCCTTGTGAACATGAACCTGCCCCTTTACACCTTTTCTTTTACATGGAGCTCGAGTGTTATTTCATTTTCTTTCAAAATGGCAGAAACGTTGCAAAGAACTATAAGCAGACCAGGTACCTGTGGGAGCAGTATGATCAAAAGAAAGGACACGGAAAAGGCGCAAGAGTATTCACCGGTTGGACTTCGCTTGTAGTTTTGATGATGGCTGAGTTATACTACGATTGTTAGATGAGCTCAATACAATGGCGACATCCAACAGTTGGGATCATTGCTCAATTAGTCGGTCATATTACAAACCGGCATAACATTAGCAGAGCAGAATCGAATAGATCAACCCTTAGCTTGTTTTGAACCTTATACTACACCACAACTAGTTTTTCAAAATGAAGAATCTGATTCTACAAATGGTCATATTCGAAATTTCTAGGATTGACATTGTCACAACATAATCTTGGCTGGAAATGGATTCTGAAATTTCTCAGGATCGATATCGTCATTCTATGCTTAGGAAATTTCTGCATCTTCAGCCATTATGATTTCCATGTCGCGCATGTCACGCTTCAGCACACTGCCAAGCCGAGCAATGGCTTCTGTCTGCCGTTGTAGGACCTGTTTGCAACACAACCAGCCATCCAAATAACCGAAAACAATAAATGAATGCCAGAAATATAAGTGTCGTGTGTACCTCTTGCATGTCAGCTAGACTTTGCTCGTGAATTTTGGCTGCTCCGAGCAAATATGGGCCACCGTTTAGACCGTCGGCTTGAAGCCTAGACAACGTGAGCAGATTCTGAACCCGTCTGGAAAGCTCTGCCCCAGATCCTTTTAACTGCAAGAACATGCATATTTACACGCTTAGACCCATCATCAAAACTGAAGTTTGATATTAAACATCGAAAAAATAACCTGTCGGGTTATTGCAGCTAGCTTCTCGGCCAATTCTACCTCTCCTTTCATAAGGGGAAGTCTGCTTCCTTTGCCTTCCAATGCTTCTATTATTCTCATAACCTGTGTACAGTATATAACATACGTAAGATTATTAATTACCGGGATTATATGAAGTAGAACCAACAGAAGATTATTCGCTTTAATATACACAAGAATGTTCGAAATCTTCAAAATTTGTTCCAAGCATCCACATTAAAACTTTGCAAACCAAGGATCTCAAATGTATGTGGAAACACTGCAAATAAGCTATTAATTACCGGGAGACAACCACTATAACTGCTACTCACTTGGCCTGAATATTCAGAATCGAAAATGAAATAAAATGGCAAGATGAGATGCAGTAGGTTATAACAGTTAAATCCAATCCAAATTCAATGGAAACGCCTTCGCTCTATTCTCTTTGAATGTCCTTCAGTTTTTTTTACTATGCAAACAATTTCCTATAAAATCACATTATTCATCAAAATACTATTTAAATCGAAAACTAAAGCAAAACACCGAGACAAAAAGAGCAAACCCTTCTTTGCAAATTACAGTACACATAAATTAATTTCTTTTTGCGGTGAAAATTGTATTGTAATCAATGAAAATCCAATCGAATACTTCACCCGCAAAAGACGCCTTTGGAGGCTTTGCTCCTTTTGCTGCATCCGTTGAATCGATGGAAGTGTGTCAACTTGAAAGTGTCTCTGAAGCTGCACTAATTGAACGACAAAGAAATCTTCAAATCGAAACAATAATACACCAAAAGCACACACATTTATATAGACATGAGAGAGAGAGAGAGAGAGAGAGAAATCACCATCTTCACATTGCTTTGAGTCATCTTCAACCTCTCAGAATCTGAGAGTATAACTTCATCTTGGAGCTTCATAAACCAAGATTCAGAAACCGGCCAAAAATCATACATATTGTCAAATGATTATCATTGAGTATGAGAGAATAAGTAACACATTGAAGGAACTAATCAAATTTCTTTGCACCTTAAGACGCTGCGAAAGATCCTTAAAGCCTTGCACAAGTTGGGGCCACAGGCTCTCCCGTTTGGAACTCTCCATGCCTTCTAGCTTCGCTATTGCTTCTGCCCACATAATCTGATGGTCTAAACTATTATAAAAGACTCCACAAGAAAAATACGTTCAATTCAAGCACCGGTGATGGATATCAAATTGGCCATTCTGAACTTACATCGGATACATTTGCAGGCTTCACTCTGTACTGAGGATCGGTCACACTGAACAACAGATGCTGCGAAACCAACAAAGGTGATTGATGAGTTCACTCAATCTAAAATACACATATCACTGACGTAAACTATCTCACCGCCCAATACATATTACGTAGTATATTTCAAGAAGCTGTGACCTAATCAACAACCTAGCCATATCCAATCGCTAGATAATTTTTCTAAGAGCTATTGCATAATTTTTTGGTGGATAAGCTTCACTCCGAGTTTCTTTAAGGTCTGAATTTTGTCTCGGACTGTTCATCAATTTTTTGTCTTCAAAAACCATCAAATCAAACATATTTTTTATTTAAAATATCACATCAAACAGCTATTTATACTACATCAAATACTATTTCAATTTGAAGTTTTACTACTACTAAGACCCAAACCCCAATCCAAACATTAGAGAAACACTCACTTGCTCAGTATGAGCAATTTCAAACTCATACTATTTTCACAATCTTGAGCTCAAAGTGGTAATTTGGAAATCTTAAGTTTAATTAAAAAACCTCAAATGGAAAGTTAAACCAAACCCCGACATTAATTCAGGTTTGAGAACCTTTCGATCAAGCCGAAAGGGATTATCAATTAGCTAACCTAAGGTGTAGACATCTCACTTTCTTTTCAGTCTTGTGGCAGTATAAACCATATGAAAATTATCAAATCAGTAAACGCAGAGCACACAAAAAGAGATCACAAAGCGCTGAAAACTCAAACCTTGAAGGCATATTTAGGGTTCCCTGACTCTTGCTTATACGCATCCACAATTCCCTGGAAGAACAACACAATCAGTTCAAATTAAACAAAGTAATTGATCGGAATCCTTAAAGCTCGTCACTAAATTTAAATTCGCGAACCGAATCCCTACTTGAATGTCTCGATCTGCCAGAGAAAACGGAAGAGGTGCAACAGGAGCCATCTGAGTTGTCAGCTGTAAATTCATAAAATTTGTCGGCTGCGCTTGCGACGCGGCATTGAACGGCGTCGAAAATCCAAACGGACTTTGCTGCTGCTGCTGAGGCGTCTGAAACAGCGATGGGGTCTGCTGCTGCTGTTGGGGTTGAGATTGCTGCGAAAATGGTGTCGAAAACAGCGAGGAGCCGAATGCCGGAGTTGAAGGCGTTCCGAAGGCCGGCGTCGAGGAGGGAGTGCCGAAAGCTGGAGTGGAGGAGGGCGTGCCGAAAGCTGGAGTGGAGGAGGGCGTGCCGAAAGCGGGCGTGGAGGAAGGCGTGCCGAAGGACGGCTGAGGCTGAGGCTGAGCTCCGAACATTATTATCGGGGGCGGTGGCGGAACCCTAGATTAGATTTGCAGTTACCGCCAATATTATGGGGATGGTCGCATTTACAGTGGGCTTCAAATTTCGAGTTTAACGAAATCTTTTTAAATTTCTAATCTTTTTATTTTTGATAAATTTATTAATTTTAATCATACTAAATAAATATAAATCAATTTAATTAAACTACGTCGTCACTCTGAAATCCTTTTATTTGTATTTCTCTTTTCAATTAATAAATATTTTTATCTGTCTTTAAAACTTCTTATTTTTCATAAAAATTAATTTATGATATTGATAAATAAATACATATTTTTTATTTATTTGTATTATATAAAATTTTATTATCTATAAAATAATATTCATATTGCATCTATTTTATTGAGATATAATTAAAAAAATTAAAATATCAACAACACTACTTATATAAAAAATAATAAAATATTATCATAATTTATTATTGATAAGTTACTGGCCTACACTACTTAAAATATGATGTCCCTAATTGACATAGAGTATTTTTTAATGAAATAAGAGTGTATATTGCTTCAATTTTTTTATTTTTTCCAACTTTTGTAAAATATATTACTCCCTTCGTACCTTTTGAAATGACTCTTTGGTGTTTTTCAATAGATTAAGAGATAATACTCTCTATGTCCCACATTACATGTTCATGTTGCCGTTTCGGAACATCACACATACCATGTCATTTACCATATTTGACAAATTATTATATACTTTAAACATAATTAAAATTTCTTAATCTAAAATTAATTTAATCTAAATATACATACATATAAATACCACCCACCTTTACCCTTACCCCCACCACCCAATTTATCTTCCCAATTCACTTTCTCTCTCCCCGATCTGAGAAACCCTAATCTTCGCTCACGTATTCTCTTGATCTGCGCTTTGGTCATCTCAGATTGATGTCTTCGGTCTACCAATCGTCGACGCTTTCTCCCCCGAGCTCACAGCAGCCCTTCCCTAAGTTGGGATCCTCTTTTCGCTGCCCGAACTGTGGCTATTTTTCTGGTAAAATCCCCAAATCGTCCGATGAGCTCTTCCCCGTCAACCCAGCTTCTAGTGACGGTATTTCCCGTCAATTTACTGGAGAGAAGGTTAGTGCGAGTGAGGGTTTCTCATTTTGGGTACCAGACAGTGAATCTTCATTCGATTTAGGGTTGGATATCAATGTCTCACCTCTAGGGCGGGAGAAGGCATCAGTAACTTCTCTCCGGCATCAACCGTCGCCGGAAAAGGACAGATTGTTTGATAGCGGCGCTGGATCGCTCCCAAAAATTGACGATATCTGGTTCGAACTTGGGTATTGCCCAAACTCTGACGACGATTGCGATTCCGAGCCTACCTCGTCCCTATTCCGGCGGTCTCGACAAATACGTCCCTATCGTGGACGTCGGTGAGATCTAAACAAACTTTTGCTCGCATTTCATATATTGTTATGTCGGGTAGCTAATGAGTATATTGCAATTCATGCCGTATTTAGTAATTGTGGCTTGAACATGCATTTATTTTATGTTTTGGTGGATGTTATTGAATTAGCTGGTTGAACTTTGGGTGTTATACCATTCTGTCTCGCCTAATATTTCCGATTTGTTATTGTCGGCTTCGAAATGACATTCACGATTACATATACTCATATTAAAACTGTTTTCACTTAACAACCCAAGTTCTAATCTATGAATTTAGGTTAGCAGTTTGAAAACAAACATTTAGTTCGGTAAAATGCATTTCATCAAAATGTTTACACTATAAACCTGTTAGTAAGTACCTTTACAGGTTTACACAAGCATAAACACTTACAAAAAGACTTTCTTACATCAATTCATAGTACTAATAACCTAAATCACTTATAACTCGTTCAATACCTGTCACATCACCTTTTTCAATTACATAGTGAATGCATTCATGTATTAATTACATTGGAACACTTATGTCATTTGGGAGATTCCCATCTCTCAATAAACTATCTTTTCTCATATGTGGAAGCTTATATGAGTTGTCACCCTTTGTTTCCATCACTTCAATCATGCAGCATTGCAAACTAAAAAGTACCTTGTTTAAACATTGGGGTGTCAACTCATTGAAGCTAGAAATAACAGCATCCAGTAGGTCATTCACTGTCTTGCATGATTTCTTAGTTTGTAAGCTTTGTATAGCTCAAAACCAACCTAGGTCATTCACATTCATGTCGGGTGAATTTGGAGGTTGCTGAATGAGTTTGATGTTGAAACCGTTGTTGTTTGCTGCTTGTACAAAGTCCGGATCATCTTCTTCTCCTTCTGCGGCTCCTCGGCCTCGCCGCAATCACAGGGTCTTATCTCACCTTTCTGATTATGTTCTTGACTCTCTAGCGTCCTCTCACCACATGTCTACTGCTTTCCTTCTTTGTCCCGAGCCACAGTCCGAAGTGGAAGCATTGGCGAGGAAAGAATGGAGACAAGCTATGACCAACGAAATGATAGCCTTAAAGGAGAATCACACATGGTCTATTGTTCCTCTTCCTCCTGGTTGCACTCCCATCAGATGCAAGTGGGTCTTTAAAACTAAAGTGAGAGCCGACGGGAGCTTAGAACGATCAAGGCCAGACTTGTTGCTAAAGGCTAAAACCAACGCAAGGATTTTGATTATCATAAGACTTTTAGTCCTGTTGTTCAACACACTACAGTTCGTCTTGTGTTTGCTCTTGCAGCTCACTTCAATTGGCACTTAGAATAACTCGATGTCCACAATGCTTTTCTGAATGGCGATCTGGATGAAGATATTTACATGGAGCTTCCCTACGGATATTCGACTCTCACTAGTGAGGATATTCCATCCACTCACGTTTGCAAGCTTATGAAGGCGCTCTACGGGTTAAAGCAGGCGTCTCGACAATGGAATACGAAGTTTACTGCCACCTTGTTAGAGATGGGTTTTGTTCAGACGACTTCTGACCCATCATGTTTTGTCCGACATTCGGTTAATGCTAATATTCTAAGATTATTAGTCTATGTGGATGATATTATTTTGACTAGCAGTTATCATGAAGATATGGGCAAAACCATCAGTGTGCTTCAAGAGAAATTCCGCATGCGACTTCTAGGAATTCCACGCCTTTTCCTTAGGATTGAGCTCACACATTCCTCCATTGGCATCCGCCTGTGTCAACAAAAGTTTATCACCACTTTGCTCCAAGAATATGGTTGCACTGATGCTAAACCTCATGTCACTCCCATTGAGGTAAATCACCACCTGGCAGAAGACTCCTCAAGGCCTCTCGATGATGGTACACCCTTTCATCAACTTGTGGGAAAGCTTCTTTATCTTACTCTCACTCGTGTGGATATTACGTATGCAGTCCAGGTCCTCTCCCAGTACATGCATACCCCAACTCAATCACATGCGGCAGCTACTCGTGTTCTCAGATACTTACGTCAAGAACCCGAACAAGGACTTTTATTTTGCCGCTAGTCTCTCTTAACCTCACTTGGATACAGTGACAGTGATTTGGGAGCTTGTCGAGAGACACGACGGTCAGTAACTGGGTACTGCATTTTTCCTGGCAGTTCATTGATTAGCTGGCGATCAAAGAAATAGTCAGTTGTCACTCGAAGTTCTATGGAGGCAGAATATCGTGCTTTAGCGAGCTACGCCTGTAAAATTATGGGGATCCAAAATCTGCTGAGCGAATTGAAGATCACTTGCATGGGACGGTTGCTATGTGATAATAAAAGCACGATCCAAATCAGCAAAAATCCAACGCACCATGATCGGACAAAGCACTTCGATTTGGACGTACATTCTGTTTGTGAAAAGATACAAGCCAAGTTGTTCGAAATAGATTACATACCCACCAAGTCACAACTTGCTGATATTCTTACAAAAGGTCTCTCTGGACCAGTGTTTCACAATCTGCTGTCCAAAATGCTCATCCAAAATACCGATGAACATTTTGAGGGGGGCGGTGGAAAATTAGCTTCTTGCTGCTGCAAATTATCCAGTGCTGAGGACATACAGACGTGCACCTCAGTCATGCAGCCACATGCAGAGACTCCGCCATGGCCTTTGTTTGAATTAATTCACTCCATGAGCAGAAGACCATAACGATTTCTTGTTATGTTTCAGATTTGTTGTACATTTTTGTTAGGGTTGTTAGGGGTCTATTTGCGTGTATATAAATAGATACAAATCTGCTTAATGGAAAATATATAGAAGAATTCCTTTTATCTTGTGTTTCTTTCTCTTCTTCAATACATTAGAATTATCTCGCTCAATCTTCATCAGACACGGGAATTTAAGTAAAGTATGATTAGTAAGTAATGAATAAGTGTATTAATAAAAATAATTATTGTATAGTAAAAATAATTATTGTGAAGGTTGGAATAATATGATTTATTGCACTTGAAGAGAATTACAATATATGATTATATAGAATGATAAGAGAAATTTATGAAATAGAATAGGGAAGGTAAGTAAAGACAAGAGTAATCTACGGGAGACAATTAAGGAGCTAAGTATAGAAGATGCAGAATTAATTAGCATAATTATCGCTAACACGCCCCCGCAAGCAGAGCGTGGGATTGTAGGAAATGCGAAGCTTGGACCTGAACATTTCATAGGCTTGTCGAGGAAGACTTTTTGTGAAAATATCGGCAAGCTGGAGCGAAGACGGAACAAACTGAGTAATCGAGACATCCAGATTCGACTAGTTCTCGCACAAAGTGACAGTCGATATTGAGGTGCTTGGCGCGCTTGTGAGAGACTGGATTCTGGCTAAGGAACAGTGCACTTCTGTTGTTACAAATGAGCACTGGAGGAGAAGCCGGAGAAGCGTGAAGGTCTCGAAGGAGGTGAGTAACCAACATAAGTTTTGATGTTGTATTAGCAAGTGCCCTGTATTCAGATTCGCAGCTGGAGCGAGAGACTGTTGGTTGCTTCTTCGCACTCCATGAGATAAGATTTGGACCTAGAAAAATGGCATATCCATATGTTAAACGTCGAGTGTCAATGCAATGTGCCCAATCAGCATCCGAATATCCATGAATACCATACTGCCCTGGTGAGAAAGATAGACCGAAACCGAGAGTGCCTTTAACATACCTTAAAATACGTTTGACAGCCTGAAAATGCGCAAGTGTAGGGCGCTGCTAAAATTGGCTGACAGTATTAACATAATAAGCAAGGTCAGGGCGCGTGATTGTTAAATATTGAAGGGCACCAACCAATGAGCGATATAATGTAGGATCATGAAAAGCAGAACCAACAGCTGTAAAAGTAGCGCCGGGAGCTAGAGGAGTGGAGACTGGTTTGGAATCAACCAAGTCTGCGCGGGCGAGAATATCGCAGGCATATTTACACTGACTGAGGAAGAGACCAGAAGAGGTGTATGAAACTTCCAAGCCAAGAAAGTACCCCAGACGCCCAAGATCCTTAATGGAAAATTCGGTGCGTAGGCGAGACAATAGAGAAGAAACTGCAGCATTGTCGTTTCCTGTGACAACTATATCATCAACATATACTAATAGAGAGATGAGTGTAGACTTTCGTCGAAGAACAAATAAAGATGTGTCAGCAGTACTGCAAATAAATCCAAGAGTGCACAAAAAATTCCGAAGACGATGATACCAGGCCAGAGGGGCTTGACGAAGACCATAGAGAGCTTTCTTAAGAAGGCATACATGATTTAGATACAAGGGATCAATGAAGCCAGGTGGTTGCTCCATAAAGATCGGCTTAGAGTCGTAACTGTATGCCCGAGAAATGGCCTCCTAAACGTCCCTAGATGTTTTGCATCCGATCACGAGGGCCATCGAGTCCTCGATAAGTGTGGAGATGAGAAACAACTTCAAGAGTTGATCACGGTAGCGCCAATGTGTGTACGCAGGATTTGGTTGTTGGCCATCAGCGGTGGTGATATTGACGGAAGATGGTGAAGAAGAGCCATCGACGAGAGACAAAATTTTGACTGACGATGAGGGGCTCGATCTGGGCATGCCAGAGTAAATAATTGGTAGAGGTTAATTTGATAGGGACCATGTGAATCATAGTAGAGAGGGGAAGGGTAGGAGAATCTTGTTCTGCCATAGAAAATGAAGAAGGAACGCAGCAGCAGGACGGTGGTGAACAAACCGAACAAAGGGTTTCACACCTAATTGGCTGATACCATGTGAAGATTGGAATAATATGATTTATTGCACTTGAAGAGAATTACAACATATGATTATATAGAATGATAAGAGAAATTTATGAAATAAACCAGGGAAGGTAAGTAAAGACAAGAGTAATCTACGGGAAACAATTAAGGAGCTAAGTATAGAAGATGCAGAATTAATTAGCATAATTATCGCTAACAATTATAAATTAAGATTAAGATAACTAAATAGTTTAATTTAGATTAAAAAAATATAAAATATAAAATTTAAAATATAATTAAAGTGTATAATTATATTTCCAAAAAAGAAAAGGACGAGTTATGTGGAACGGACGAAAATAAAAAATAAGGACAAATTATGTGGGCTAGATGAAGTATTATTTACATACTTTTCTATACTTTATATAAAAAATATATTTTCAAACCATTTAACTGATCTAAAACCAAATGACTTTATTTTGAAATTATATGTTAGAATTGCATAAATAAAACAAAAATAAAATAAAAATGATGATATATATTTTTAATATATAGTACAAGATATCAATAATATAATAGAACTGTTAATTAATTGATTCGTTATAATTCCATCAATAACACCCTCGTATTCTTAATTGTATTTGCAAGTTTTTATTTAGACAATGAGAAATGTTTCGTTATTATACGAAATAATATATTATTATTATTATTATTATTATTATTTTTATATAGTAATTAGAGTATATTGTATGGGAGTATACATATTATATTTTTTTGTATATTGATCGGGGAATTATATTAAAAGAAATTACTGGACGAACTTCGGTAATTATTTTACTAATTCACATTTACTTTTTATTAATTTTTTTTTATCAATTTTATTTAAAATAGTACTCCCTCCGTTCCAGAAGAAATATCTTGTTGGAAGTTGGCACAAATTAGGATGTAAAAGACTATAATGTCTTTGCTTTTTTAAGAATTTAAAAAAATATATTAGAGTAATAATTAGGGGTAATTTGGGAAAGTGTGAATAATTTTGTTATAAAGTGGGGACCACAATTACTAATAAGGAAACAACACAATTGTTTTAGAACGGACGAAAATGAAAAAACAAAATAACTCTTTTGGGACATAGGGAGGGAGTATTATTTAAACTAAAAGAAAAACACATTTTTGGGGTTGGTTAGCAGCCATGTAGGTAAGACAATTTTTTATACACATATAAAATATAATTATATATAATTTTATATAATATACTCCCTCTGATCCAATACAATAATCTTGTTTATCATTTTTATCCTTCTCAAAACAATAGTCTTATTTCCATAAATGATCATATCACCATAAACTATCTCTACTTTTTCATTTTTATTACACAAACTGTCACTCTTTTTTACACTAATACATTCAAAGGGCAAAAAAAAATAAAATAAAATTATTCATACTTTTTACCAACTATCAATATAATATCAATATTCTTTAAATTTGTGTCCAACCTAATTAAAACTATATTTATGGGACGGAGGGAATATAATATTATTTTTTATATTTTTCACATATTATCTATGATATTTTTACAGGAAAGATTTGGACAATCATCATAATGATATAAATCTCCCATTAGAACTCTAATATTACTACAATTCCATTATTACATAATTATTTATTCAGTGGTCATAACTATAATTATGGGGTAATAGGTGATTTAATAGTATTTAATTAATTATCAATTTTTACCAGCTAGTGCGAGGGACGCGCATTCAACTCTACTGTTTCCGATTTTCATTTTTACCGCTGCTATTTTATTTTTCACATAGAATTTTTACTTAAAATAAAATTTCATTTATTTAAAAAAAAGAAAAAAAGAAAATAGAGAGAGACCATAAAACCCTAGAGAGGGGTAGAATTTAGAAAGTGTGTTTTTGAGGCCCAATTATTGAGAAATGATCCAAACACGGCCTTAGCTTTGGTATACAATGCAGTATAGAAAGAAGGAACTGCTAGTTCGCATCTTATTGCTCAGTCTTTGCGCTAATCGATTTTCTCTGTCGGTCAGTGGATCGATCGGAGTTTTCGCCGGAGTCAGGGGAAGGGAGGATCAGACGAGCGAAGGAATTCGTGAAGGATGCAGAGGCTCCTGCCGCCGCAGCATTCAAAATTGAAGGCGGAGAACATGCGGTTCCTCTGCCTCGCGGTGGCGGTGGTCGGGATGATCGGCGCGGCGTCGCTGGTGGTGGTGTTCGTACGGACCGGCGGATCTCATCCGATGTTCTACGGCGCGTGGGCGCGGCTATCGATGGCGAGCAGCGCGACGGACCTGCAGCTGAAGGCGATCATCCACTACGCGACATCGCACATCGTGCCGCAGCAATCGCGGCAGGAAATCGGCGTTTCGTTCGACGTCCTCCGCTCGCTCGGCGGATCCTGCAATTTCCTTGTGTTCGGGCTAGGGCACGACTCGCTGATGTGGTCGGCGATTAACGCCCGGGGGAAGACGCTGTTCCTCGAGGAGGATCCGAAATGGGTGGAGACCGTCCTCAAGGACGCGCCGGAGCTCCGCGCCAACACCGTCCGCTACCGGACGCAGCTCTCCGAAGCCGACGAGCTTATGCGCCATTTCCGCGAGGAGCCGGACTGCTCGCCGGAGAAATCCTTCATTCGCGGCAACGATAAATGCAGGTACTTACGCTTTCCGCATTTCCCCCTTTTTTATTTATTTATGTTCTGAAAACAAGGGACGGTTCAGATTGGCGCTGAATATGCTATCGGATGAAGTGTACGATACTGAGTGGGACATGATAATGGTGGACGCGCCGCGGGGGTATTTCGACGCGGCGCCGGGGAGGATGGCGGCGATATACTCTGTGGCGGTGATGGCGAGGAATCGGAACGGGTCAGGTGACACGCACGTGTTCCTGCACGACGTGGACCGCCGGGTCGAGAAGATGTACGCCGATGCCTTCTTCTGCAAGAAATTTCTGGTCAAGGCGGTCGGCCGCCTCTGGTACTTCAGGATTCCCCCCGCCGCTAAACGCAGCCGCGGCGGCTTCTGCTAGGACGCGCCCCCTGCCCTTTTGCTAGGATGCGCCCCCTGCCCTTTTGCTAGGATGCGCCGGGATTGGACTTTTGTGGTTCCTGAATTCACCCTCTCTCCCACTCTCGTTCACTCATGCTTGATCTATTTTATTTATTATTTCTTTTATTATTATTATTATTATTATTATGTTATTACAGAGTTTGGGTGTAGTATGCGTGTTTAATGTTAAAAAAATATTGATTTGAATTTAATATTAAAATAATATTTAATGAAATATTTTGTAAAAAGAAAATTAGTACAAATACAAACAGTAAAGTTTAAGAATTTTATGATAAGAAAACACACATTGGAGGAGATAAATAGATGTTTAATATACTCTTTCTTTCTGTCCCATAACAAAGTTTTTTTTTTTTTTTTATTTTAGTCTGTCTCGTAATAAAGTATTTTTTTTTTTAGTAACTGTACTATTTATCTAACATTATAAATACCTTTAAAACTTACAATATTACACAAATGTCATTAACTTTATATCACACATATAACAACACTAAAACTACGTAAAAAAGCAAATGAATACTTCGTTTTGGACGAAGGGAGTAACATTTTTAATATACTCATTCGGTAGTCAGAATTTATATTTTTTTTTATTTTATCAGTTGTCATAAGAGATATTGTCTTTTTTCTTTTTTTTTTTATTTTCTTTATTATAAAAAAAAATAATTTATATTTTCTTTATTTTTATTAAAACTCATATACATCAAAATGAATATGCTTCTTTTTTTTAAGTATTAATTTCTTTATGAAATAGTCTTTTAGTCTATTATAAAGTTACTAAAAATGTTTTGGATAAAATTATTTTTAATATTTTTTTCGTTTCATTCAATATACATTTTTATATATTTTTTGTATTAAAATAAAAAATAATATTATTTTATTAATTAGTTAAGTATGTAAAATTATTTTAATATTTTTATTTTTTAAAATACAAAATAAAATGATATCTAAAGAAACTAAAAATATTTAAATATGAATAGGTTTTTAAATAAAAAATATACATGAAATAAAATAGACGAATATAATAATAAAAATATTACGTTTTTTGCCCCAAGAATTTTTTGAAATTTTTTGATAAATTAAGAAATAATAGTATTTTATTAATTAGTGGAAGTGCGTAAGAGATTTTGATATTTCATTGTATTTATAAAATAATTATATATGTAATATATATTTGTAATTTAAATAAAAATTAAAGATATTTTGAATTAGTATATGATTGCTTTATTTTAAATAGAACATAAATATTTTTAAATAAAACATGAAGATGATAAAAATAATATTTTACATTCGTACTGAGAAAATGTATATAAAAATTATTTACTTTATTTAATTTAATTTTATATTTTTAAATAGTACTCTTTGAGGTCATCCACATCGATAGTTTCTCTCCTTTGGAGAGAAACTCTCTATTTCATATATGGCTTCCATTCGGCATTTTTGGGAGTAAAAAAAAGTTTAATGACTTTTGGGTTGCTGCAGAGAGCAACTCAAAAACACCTTCAATTTTTTAATTTTGTATTTATTTATAATAAATTTATTTATTTATTTATTATTTTTTATATTATTATATTATATAAAATTTTACTCTCTACAAAATGATATATTTATATTAATATATTTTTATTTAAATTTAATTTTTAAATAAATTATATTGATATAAATATAAATATATATGTAAGTTTTTGTTGAGTTGAAAAAGTGAAATAATGATGTGGAATGGAGAGAAACTCATTTGTGAATTTATCTGATGCTTACTGTAGACACGACAATTTATGAGGGGTATAATTAATAAATAATTAAGAATATATTAATGAAAATAATTATAGTATAATAAAAATAATTTTAGATTAAAATTAAAATAACCAATTAGCCTAATTAAAATCGAAAAAATTATAAATTAAAAAATTTCATACGAGATTAAAGTGTATAATTTTTTTTTTTTTAAAAAAAATAACAATAACTAAGATGGACGAAAATGAAGAGATAGATACGGTAAGTAAGACAGAGACAATTACAAAAATTGAATTCCCAAACGAAAAAAAAAGGGATGTGTTTTGGCAACGTCAGTACGGTAAAAAACCACACAAACAACGCAGATAAGGAGGAATTGTCACTCTTAGGGTGTGTTTGTTTGGGGAATCTTCCCCCAAATACATTATTCATATTTTTTTTTTCTTCTAAAAAATATCAAATTAAATATTTATTATTTATTATTTATTTTTTATATTATATTTAAAAATTAATTCTACATTCAAAACATCACATCAACACCTAATTATATCACATTATACAACTATTCAAATTCAATATTTTTACTATTCAAATCTCAACTCAAAATCTAAATTCCCAAACAAACACACCCTAAGTCCTAACCTATATCTAGGTTTAGGCAGTTAATATGCTACTATTTAATTTGTGTTGTTTAGGTTTTAATTTCTGTTATTTATTTATTTTTTTTACAAAGCTATACTTAATACTACCTCTTTCCTTAAATGCAAAGGGTTTGTTTCCTTACGTTTTTTAAATACAAGTTTATACATTATTTATTCCGTAGATTTTAAATAAAAACCTATCATTTTTTTTTTTATATAAAATATTCCTATATCAAAATAGTATTTAAATACAAATTCAAACTAATATTTTTTTTTAGTTCATTTTAAACTATAACCAAATAAACTTTCTATATATTTATTTATATATACATATAATGTCATAAATAATACTTTCTCCGTTTAAGCTAATTATGTCACAATACCTGGATATAGATACTAAAAAAATAATAGTATTTTAATATAAAAATATAACAGATAAAAAGTAAAGTAAATATATTATAACTAAAAATGTTACATATTTAATAATAAAATAGTAGAATAAAAAAAAAATATTGACAAATTAATTATTATTTGTTAAAATACGACTAATGAAATTGTTGGTATATAAAATTATTTACCAAAAATATATAATATATTAGTTTAGCTACAAAAGAATAACATAATTATCCGGGATGGTCCAAATATTTTTTTTGAGCATTGGCAATGAATATATATAAATATTGTAGTATTTAAATATTAGTTATTGAACTTTTTATGTTTTGTTTTAATAAAATTTATTTATGTTTTACTAAAGATAATAAAATATACATTTTTGTGTTTGAATAGATTAAAATTAATTGCTTATCTATTTTATTCTACTTTTTATTTAAAATATTTTAATAAATTGAACATATATATATATGGATGAAAAAAAGAAAAAATAGTAAAAATAATACGAACCGTATAATAATAATAATAATAATAATAATAATAATAATAATAATAATAATAATGATATCCTTTTATAATTTAGATACAATTTTTTTTTTATTGCACTTTTAAGACTTGTATTTTGAATATGTTATTAAATTAATACACATATATTGGTGTAAAAGTAAAACATAAAAATAAATAAATAAATAACAAAAAAAAATTAAGCAATATTACAAAATATTGTGGAGCATAAAAATATAACAAAATATATGAAACAAATCCAAGCACACCCTATTTGTATTGTATGAGCACAATTTGATTTATTTTTTTATTTTTTTTTATTTTTATTTTTGCCAATAATGTACACTAATGTAGGTTTTGACATTTCAATTTTCATCTACCCATCTCTCACTAAACCATATTATAGTACATACATTCAAAATTTCTTTTCCATATTATTTTTATAATAATTTTTTAAAAATTACATTGATATGTCTTTTTCTCGGGAAAAAAAATAAATTTACATCAACCTCAAAAAAATCTTAAATAATATCTAAACATAAGCCTAATTTTATTTCTATCCAAATAAATAAATGCCTTGTTATTTAATGAGTGGATGTCTCTCTGGTTTGAATATTTGTTTGTTTTTTTGTATTTGTATTTTGTTTTTGAATATTTATTGAATTTGATTTTTGGTAAAATATATATATATATTTTATCAAAGGTAAAACTTGCGTAGTAATAAAATTGTTGATGCAAATTTTCAACAATAAAAAAGTAAAATTCGAAAATAGGAAATTATCTTCGAATTTGATATAATTAGTGTTTGTGATTAGGAATCTCTAAACACTGTAGGATACATAAATAAAATAGGAAAATAAAACTACAAACCGGAAAATAAAGTGGTGATCCCCAAAGGCAATTCTTTTGAATTTGATGTTGATTGAAGATGATTTGTCAGAACAGACCCGACTCCTTAAATAACCCCTTAAATAAACGGTTTGAACCACCGTCTGGTCGGTTACAGCAACCACTGTCAATCGCCCAGAAAGTCCTCTTTTGTCGACACGTGTGTTAACCGACTCACCAACCGCTCGCGCCAGTTACAGTACTCAACTATCTCGGCCGACCGCTTCTGAAAACCTCACCGCCTTAAATGGGCGGCTGGTCCCGACCGACTACTCAACCGCCCAGTAATAACCTCTTAGACTGGTCGCTAGACCAAACGACTCATCGGCCGCCCCATTAAGCGACCACCATCTGATTTCTCCAATCGGCTGAACAATGAATCATCCAGACGATTCAATAGTCGCCCCAACCAAGCGACTGAACTACTGTTTACTTAAGTAGGCGACCAATTAACGGACCTTTTTCCGACCAACCTCCGTATCAGCCGTCCTTCTTCGCCCGACTTCCTCTTTCGACCGACCTCCGTATCATCCGTCCTTCTTCGCCCGACTTCCTGTTTCGACCGACCTCAGTATCAGCCGTCCTTCTTCGCCCGACTTCCTCTTTCGACCGACCTCAGTATCAGCCGTCCTTCTTCGCCCGACTTCCTCTTTCGACCGACCTCCGTATCAGCCGTCCTTCTTCGCCCGACTTCCTGTTTCGACCAACCTCAGTATCAGCCGTCCTTCTTCGTCCGACTTCCTCTTTCGACCGACCTCCGTATCAGCCGTCCTCCGTCTGACCTCATTTGGTCCGACTGCGAACCATCCGACAGCGTACCAACCGACCGGCTCTGTTTGCCTTATCTCCTTAGATGGACCACTGGTTCAACAGACTATCCTCTTGACAGACCTCCGCGCTTCTTTGCCAGACCTTCGTCTTGACAGACCTCCGAGTCTTCCGGTAGTTCTTCTTTGCCCGACCTTATCACGTCCGATCTCCGTGCCCGACCTTGTCCTGTCCGACCTCCGTATCTGACTTTATTACGTCCGATCCTCCGTGCCCGACCTTGTCCCGTCCGACCTCCGTATCGGCCGATCACCCTTCCTTGTCCGATTTTCTTTTGCCCGACTTTTGGATCGTTTGGCTTATATTCAGATCCATCCAAAATCCTACTGCCATTATTTATTATTATTATTATTTTTGCGCTCAACAAAAATAAAATTGTTAGTAGAGTTATGCAATAATAATTCAACAAAAATAAAATTGTTAGTAGAGTTATGCAATAATAATTCAACAAAAATAAAATTGTTAATAGAGTTATGCAATAATAATTCATATTAAATTATATAATAATTTTACTGCATATTGCAATTTTTCCCAAAATTTGAGTTGTGTGCCTTTAGGGTCTGGTCTATTCGTCAATATTTTTTTATTTCATATAATTTTTTATAAATATTAATAAAATATATATATTATTATTTATATTGTTTGTATTATTATATTAGTTTGGGCCTTAATTCTATCTTGTATATATTTATTTTAGGTTTTAGGTTAATACAAGTTTAAAATATTAAATATATATATGTACGGTGGCGGATCTAGAATTTTGAATTTGATGGGTCGATAATTAATATAATTAATTTAAATTAAAAATAATAAATTGCATCAAAAGAAATTTATATTAAAAAGTATGAAATTTCAAATTAGCAATCACTAATACATCAAAATAGCTACAACGGTTCACGACGAGATCTCATATTTTGGTATCGATTGACAATATCATCGATACTAACTTTCGTAAACACATCTCTTTCTAGAAAAGTAACTAAAAAATCATTCAATAATTGATCTCCCATGCTATTCCGTAATTTGTTCTTGATGGTAGTCATCGCTGAAAAGGATCTTTCCACGATTGCAGTTGCTACAGAAAGAAGCAATACTAATTTCAATAGCAAGTAGACCCTTGAATGTGTTTCATTCTTCTTTGTCTCAACAAGTTTCATAGAAAGTTCATTTAGATCTTTCAAATCCCAAAATCTCTCATCACATCGAATATCAGTAATGAAATTACCCAATAAATATTCAAAAACCATCAATTCTACTTCTGAAAATTCTGTAGGATAAAATTCTGCAAGCCGTCGCAAACTTTTTTTTTTATCAAAAGCAGAAAACCGATTAGAAGGAAGAAAGCAAGACATACACATCAGTAATTCTTTGCTTACCTTATTGAATCGATTTTCAAGTTCTTGCAATTGTAGATCAATTACACTCAAGAATACTTCAACTCGAAAATGATGAAGATTTGTCATTTGTGGAGACTTATTTCCGCAATAACACCTCATCCCCATAATAACATATTTTCCCTTCATATCAAGAATCTCCACTTCATGTTTAACTATAAATGATGTAACTTTTTACATGAAATCGTCCCATCCATTCTCTCTCAAATCTTGAAGGTTTTTCTTAGTTACATCAACAATGGACATTGCATTTACAATGTCTTGTTCTTTTTTCTGCAAGGCCAAATTTAGTTCATTTGTAATTTCAAATATTGACAACATCAAGTGTGCTACGAAACTGAAATCAAACGACAACATTAAGTGTGTAAGTGACTCAGCTTTATTCTTGTCTTTCATATCATAAACTTTTCCAATGGCATCAAGTGATTCAAGAATCGAAGGAAATAAATGAATCACATTTAAAATTGTTTTGAAATGTGATCCCCAACGAGTATCTTCAGGCCTACTTAATCCAAGCTCTTGATTTAAACCTGTTCCAGATTCGATTTCCCCCAAAGACAATGCTTGCACGACAATTTCAACTTGTTTTTCTTGAAGAATTTCTTTTCTTTTGGGTGAACCTTCAATAAAATTCAACAAAGGTACAAGAACATAATTAAATAACCAACTAACATCTCTATTCTTTTGAGCAACAACAACAAGAGTCAATTGAAGTTGATGAGCAAAACAATGAACATAATAAGCACTTGAAGATTCTTTCAGAATTGAAGTCTGCAAACCATTAATTGACCCTCGCATGTTACTAGCCCCATCATATCCTTGGCCTCGAACACTAGATAGACTTAAAGAGTGTTCCATTAGCAGTGACTCTATTGCATCCTTTAGAGTCAAAGAAGTAGTATTACCGACATGCATAATACCAAGAAATCTCTCATTTACTTCTCCTCTTTTATTAACATATCGCAAGCAAAGAGCCATTTGCTCCTTATCAGCAATGTCTGCAGACTCATCAACAAGAATCGAAAAGAAACCACCGTCAGTCAAGTTCCTCAATAATCGCTTTAGTTGTCTCTTTTGCACAAGCATTAATTATATCCTTTTGAATTGAAGGACCAATCAATTGACAATTTCCAGGAGCATTTTTCAAAACCACTTTCTGGTAATCAGAATTATGCACATAAGGTAGTTGAAAGTTCTAAAAAATTACATTTATTCAATGATCTTTCACTCTCATCATGACCACGAAAAGCCAATCCTTGAAGCAAAAGCCATTTCAAGCATTCAATTGAAGCTTCTAACCGCAAACGATAAGCACTCGCTGATTGTTCAGATTGCTTAGACAAAACAGATACAACCGAAGATTTTTGGTTCTTGAAATCATATAATCTTCCCAATGCTTGATTGTGAGCACTCTTAATTCCACCCACATGCTTAGAAAATGCTTCACTTCTATTCCAAGTTCTAAAACCCACACCAACAAAAGCATCTCCACCAGTTGAGTTATCATCCTTGAATAAGTGACACACAAAACAAAAGGTTGCATCCTTTTCAACACTATACTCAAGCCAAGATTTGTATTTCTCAAACCATCTAGGGAGAAAGCGACGGTTGTTGCCCGAAAATACAGTTTGAGGAAACAAGTGATTTTTAGGTTGACAAGGTTGTCTTTGAATATATGCTCTTCTAATCATATCTCTATCATCCGGATGAAAATCAACAATTTTTCTTCTTTTTCCCGGATCATGTGAAAGATCATAAACATCACATTGATTCAACCTTACTTGATGCCTCGTATTTGAATTAACTTTGATGCATTGTTCATCTTGATCTTGAATGTGTTCATGCTTATCAGATGAAAAATCATTTAAAGGAGAAGATGCTGGAGAACTTACTTCAAATGGCTCTTCTCTGTCTCTGTTTTGGTGAACTTTTTTACAAAAAAAAGTTGAAATTTGACTTTGATTGATCCTCTTTATTTCGAAACTCTAAAATTTGAATTAATAAAAAAAAAAATCAGCAAACAACATCACAATAATATCACAAACACAAATGCATAAAATTATTTATAATATAATACAAATTGTATTGAATGATAAATTCTAAAAAATTCCACAAACTATAATAAACTCTTAAAAAAAATATGATACAAAAAATTCAATATACCATAAAAAAAACCCTAATAGACAGCGGACATCAACCAAATTACCTCCAATTCATTCTAAAATAATAAATAAAATTAATTGTCTGTCAAAGGTATTGGTGTAAATTATAATGCAAGGAATATTTTTCAAAAACAGGGGAAGAGCCGAAGAGCAGATAAAATTAAATCTGCGTTGGTGAAATTGGGCGAATCCTGACTGTAGAATAAAAGAGGAAGAAGATAAAAAATAAATATAAAAATAATAAATTAAATTAGGGTAAATATATAATTTTAGTGATAATTGAGTATTATTTTTATTTTTATTTTGATAGATAGGCAGAAACATCGCCATTAATTTTTAATATAAACATAAAATTAATAAATTAATTTAATAGTATAATTATAATTTTAGTAATAATTAGTATTATTTTTAATTTTTTTTGGTGGGTCAATCGACCCACCCTACATCATACTCCATCCGCAACTGTATATGTATATATTATAGATAGCGGCGGACGGTTATGGTGCCGACAATTTCAAATCATCACCATATTGATATAATTAAATTAATAAACTAACATAAAGTAACAACAATTCGTTACAAAATAAATAGTTGATCACATTACTTTGAAGCAATTACCATTTTATCACAATATAAATAACATATGTTGCACTGTTATATATTAATATTAATATTTGCTATTTATTTTTAAATATTTGTTGACAGAATCAAATTATATTATAATAAAATTAAAATATATTTAAACTATATATAATTATATAATATACTATTAAAATATATATTATATATTATATTAATATTTTTTTATTTTATTAATAAATATTTGATGTTTAGGTCAAATCAATATCACACTAATTTGATTCCATCAATATAATAATCAGCGCAATTATACACTGTCAAAACATTATATTATTATTATTATTACTTGAGTGGATATACAAAACATTATTGATATAATTTAATGTTGCTAATTTAGGATTTGTTTAATTTGGCTTCAAACTAAAATTATTTGTATAATTTAATGTATACAATTGTAAATAATAAAAATAAGTAATTACTTTACATCAAAATATTATTTTATCTTGACTCTTATTTAATATAGTCATTCAATCTAATATTTTGTATAAGATAATTAATACATCCGTAGTTCAATTGTGTGGTCAATAGAGTCAATAGATTGAGAATGAGTTTTAAAAAAAAATAGGTAAAAATAGAAAATGTTAGTTTTTAGGGTAAAGAAAAGTATAAAAAAGTAGTATTTTTTTACTAAAATTAAAATGAAAATAAACTTATATTACAACAACGAAAAAAGAAAAGTGAAAATAATTTTAGATGATGGAGGGATGAAATATGTTTTTATCTATAACCATAAAATTACAATATAAAACTTAACAAATAGGGTAAATTGTACTTTTAGTTTCGTATCTGACCATTTTTATCATTTTAGGACTTTAATTAGAGTGTGTTTGCTTGAGGGATTTTGCTAAAAATCCACTATTCATCCAAAATTTCGTCCTAAAAATATCACATCAAACATCTATTTTTTATTTTCTATATTATTCTAAAAATTAATTTTATACTCAAAACATCACATCAACACCTATTTATATCACATCATACAATTATTCAAATTCAAAACTTTTACTATTCAAATTCCAACAAAATCCAAACCTCCAAACAAACACACCCTAAGTGGACTCTGTCTGAAAATAGTCTCGTAAGTAAGATTTTTCGCTAAAATAGTCCTCCGGTGCCGGATTCGCCACGCTGGCCCGCCGTTACTGATGTGGTACTGACGTGAATGACATGTCATCACCACGTAGATGCAACTTCGGAGGACCATTTTAGCGAAAAAATTTTACTTGCAAGACCATTTTCAGTCAGAGTCAATTTGAAGTCCTAAAAATGATAAATTAGGTCATATACGGTACTTAAAAAAACAGTTTCCTAAGACATTTTGTAAAAAAAAAGAACAAAAACAAAAAAGTGTCGCTGACGTGGCAACTACATGGCGATGACATGCCATCCACGTTAGCAACAACGGGCCAGCGTAGCGAGTCCAGCACCAAAGTACCATTTGAGCGAAAATTTTTTACTTAAAAGACTATTTTCAGACAGAGTCCAGTTAAAGTCCTAAATTGATAAATGAGGTCATATACGAGACTAAAAAAATAATTTACGCTAACAAATAAAAATTAACGAGCACGGAATTAAAATATTTGTATTGAATGCAATTAATTAATTGGTAAACTGATCTTTTAATCCTCTAACTGACTCCTGTATTATTTTAGTCATATAATTGGAGTATATCGTAAAATAGTCTTGTAAGTGAAAATTTTTCGCAATTTAGTCCTCAATGTCTATGTGGCACCTGCGTGGCATGCTGACTACATATCGATTAGTTTAGCGCCATGTGACCTACACATGTCCGCCATGTGGATTATTTTTATTTTTTTAAATATAAAAAATTACAAAAATTAAAATTAAAAAAAAAATTTATTCATATGTCTGTCAAATCAGTGCAACGTGACCTTTAATAATTTATATATTAGTATATTTTTTAATTATATTTTTATTTTTAATATAAAAAATATAAATTATTCATATAGCGGCTACGTGTCGGTTAACCTGACTGACATGTGGATAATTTAAAGTTTTTATTTTATTTTATTTTATATATTTAATTTTATTATTTATTTTAAAAATAAAAGTTATATGGCCAAGCACATGTCCGTCACCTTACACGCACATATCACATAAGCATTGAGAACTAAATTAATTTCTTCTTTTTATTTGCGAAACTATTTTAAAATAGTATCTATTAGATACTAAAATATTAAAAAGGTCCAGTTACGAAACAAAAAAAATCAGTTAATACTTATTTAATTAACATATCCAATATAACACTAAAAGAAATTATCAATTTTGTAACGAGGTTTTTTCTTTCATAAATTCACTTTTTCCGCTACTAATGATATTAGAGACGAAATTAGAGACGAAATTAGAGATGGAATTATGTTAGCTACGTGAACTTTAGGAACGGAATTCCGTTACAAATATACTATTTTTTTTGTAGTTTAATCTTATTTATTAGGTAAAGTTTGTGTTTGATTTGGATTTTAAATATAAAATAAGTATACTATTTAATATGCATGTTTTTTTTTTTTTTATAATAAAAATTCATGTTTTTCTTTCGTAATATATTACTACATGTCCTATTTAATTTGTCTATTATTTCTATTTTTTTTATCTAAAATAATTTATGATTTTATTTTTTTGAAATATAATTATACACTTTAATCACATTTTAAAATCATAATTTATAATTTTTTTATTTTAATTAAATTATTTATTTATTTTAATCTTAATCTATAATTATTTTTATTCAATCATAATTATTTTCACTAATAAACTTCTTAATTACATAATACCTAAAATTCCGTTTCTAAACTAAAGAGGACAAATTATCCGAAACGAGAGTATATTAAACTATTATTCAAATCAAATCAAAACCAAATAAACTTGAACCGAATAAAAATTAATACTTCATTTGTTTATTTGATAAGTATATATTTTGCTTACTTTTGTTGTCTAAATATAATATTTATTTCTTTTTTTAATATATATAAATTCACTGCATATTACAAATACCTTCACATTTATACTTATTTATATCAATAATTTTACATTAATTTTACATATCAAAACTATAATTACAATTATTTATTACTCCCTTCATCCCAAATAATTTGTCTTTATTTTTTATTTTCGTCCGTTTCACATAATTTTTCTATTTATTTTTTAGAAATATAATTATACACTTTAATCTCATTTTAAATTTTATAATTTTTTAAATTTTAATTAAACTATTAAGTTATCTTAATCTTAATCCACAATTATTTTTATTATATAATAATTATTTTT